GCCTCTTTTTCTCGTTGTTAAACCCAAAATTGATTGTTTTGTTAGCGGAAAATGTCATTCATAACTTATTGATAAAAAGTAGATTTCGAGAAATGGGCTCTGTAAATATAATTCGTTAATAAAAAATTCTTCATCCCCGGATTCCCGCTGGTGCCGTCGCCCGTCCAGTCCGGATATTGTACAAACAGGGGCGTGACATGAAAGATTTTCAAATAAGGGAGCAAGTCTCTGCCCCGTTCGTGCCAGAGCATCTCAGCAGTGTGCGTGGTTTTTGTGGCGCTTGTCACTTTCCTGAGATCTGCTCCCAACCATGGATCGGAAACACACGTCCGTCTGGTAGTGCAACCGCGGTTGCGCCTTCTCGTTTAATTTTCAAATTTGGCAGTACGTACCATCTGCAGGAAAATAAAAAAAAACCATCGAAAAAGATGACCCAGTTAAGAAGTTGTCCTGCTTATGAAAAAAATCAGTCGGTATATATTAAGTAAGACACCTGTTAGCTGTTAGTTAAACATTTAAACCAGATTTGACATGTAGTTCTATAAAAAAAGCAGGGTCTAACGGCAGTGGATTCGTGAACGGTTTCTTAAGCACATCTGTGAAGGACTATATCAGTCTGGACCAGTAGGCGAAATCGGCGAGTTGGGTTAGGTTGTGGGCATTTGTTGGGGGTCAGGTGCATAGAGTGATCACTGTCATTGGTATGGAGCGAGCTATTTTCACTAGTGGGAGGGGGTGATGTGCGATCGTCACTTTGGTTGTTTTGCAAAATTGCTGGCCTGGTGAAGATTTGCCGAAAACATGGTTGCCAAAACCAATTATTCAAATTAAACATGGGACTATTTTCAGAGTTCGGGTTCGTGTTAACTGAGAGTTTTAAGCTTAGAGTGGACCTAAAGGACAACAATTGAGGTAAAAATTTAGTTTTACGTTGGCTTGAGGGTTAGCTTTAAGAGACGGGAATATCAAGACTAACTGAAAGTTACCACTTGTCCACTTACTTTAAATGGCTGGGACGCTCCCAGTACCATGTTTTGTTTAGACTGCAATACCAACTACCCCTATCGTTTGAACTACTGACAAGCATTCATGATCTTGAAATCTCCGTATTTTTTAGCTAAGAGCTCCTGCACTTTCGACTAACATGTCATTATTGCTGTCCTATAAATCGATGATGCGATCCCACGCCAAGAACACGTCAGCCCAAGCCGAGTCGAATACTCTAGGTATGCGGAAAGCGACTACGTACCCAGTCTAGTGAAGAAGACTAGTAGGAGGAAAATGTCCGCTATTGAATCAACATGCAAACAAGATAACAGGTAGCAGGAAATTAGTTGTACGCCAACATACAAAAAAGGTTATAAATACAAGTTTCAGAAATGCGTAATGGCTAGAATTAGTCTAGACAGCTGTGTACAAATGAGGATACGGCAATGTTGTAAATGCATACAAGTTTGGCAAAGGGCTAGCACACATGTACATGGCCGATACCCAAGCACAGTCGAGGCTTTCTCAGCTTTGTGTCTTATTACCAGACGTTTTTTCAAGCGCTGATGCCAGCGATGGAGCCATCAGAACTTTCCTCGCTAGGCCAACAGGGCCGATGCTGATGAAAAGCCGATAGCGTTCGTAAACAGGCAAGTAAGCAGACGCGAACGACAAAATAGCATCGAGAGGTGTCAGCCCAAGTGTGTCTTCATTCTAACAGTCTGAGTCGCCCCTTTGTGGTTCGCGCGGACCATAGCATCCTACAGGGGCTGCAAGCCAGAAGAACAACTAGTGCGCTAGCCAGAACACCTGCAAGAGTATCATTTTGCTTGCTTGTACTGCTCGGGTGTGGAGCACAGGAAAGCTCACGCTCTTTCTCGATGTCCGACGTCCACCGATGGGGTCGTCAAGGTCATTGTGACGGCTGATGGCGAACACTAATGAGCACATCTTCAAGCCTTTGGTCCAGCCTTCGGGGATATAAAAGACCGACAGCTACGTGGATCCCGGAGACCGCCCGGTAGAAAAAGGAAAGATAAGTCTGTCAGATAAAGATATTCTGTTCTTAATTAGGAGTATTAATGGACCACGACGACCCATTATGCTGAGGGTGGCGATACAAGGCACCATAACTGACATTCATCGCCAACTCGGACACGCAACCAGCACACGACAGAGGCAGCCATTCGCAGTCGTTTTGGTTGACTGAATATGTATCAGGATGTGACGCCCTAGTGTAGTGCCTGTCGGGTGCGCACTCTCATAAAGTCGCCGACTGCCGCACTACGAGCTTCATTACAGCCTATGGCCGTAGACAAACCTCAAATTGTGACAAACCTAATCATCGGATCGAGTGGACATAGTTGGACCGGCACCGACTACTCGTTTTGGTAACCGATACTTACTGGTGATTATTTATTACTCTACTAAGTGGTGCGAGGCAGTACCTTTATAATAGCACGACGCCAAGATTGGGTTGACCGTTTCAGTGAGCCTACGATTATACACTGCGATCGAGTTTCGGCCTTCGAGAACCAAACTACAAGACCAAACTATGTTCCTTGTTACAAATCAAGAAAACAAGAGTTACTTCTTATCACCCACAAATTGACAAAACTTTTGCACGGATCAACAGAACGATCAAGTGAATATTGTCTGCATTTGTTCATCGCCATTCCTGTGATAGCTGGGTCCAACACTTGCCACAGTGTTTGCTAGTATATGAGACAGCTGTTCAGGAGACGACCGGATTTCCTTCCACATTGCCTCAGCTTTTCCACCATAGCCGTCTGCCGGCAGACATTCACTCTCCGCTTATTCCCGCCGAGGTCATTAGGACGGCGGAATACATTTGAGGCCTCAATGCCAGGCTCTTCATTGCGTAAAAATTAGCTGCCGATAGTTTGTTTAACGGTAAAATGGCACTATGCTAACGTATTATGACCAACACAGAGCGAAGCCGGCATACAATGTTAGCGAGGCTGTTTATCTTGTGCCAACCAGGAAGGGTTGCTGTAAAAGGTCACCAGCCCTGGTCCGTACATTATCGTCTACCGCTCATTCTCCGACACATTTGTTTTTTGCGATTCGCAGAGGCTTCCACCGATGTTCTCAACGTGCAACATAATCAGATCAAGCCAGCGCACAGCTGCTGATCGCCTCCCGATCTCCCCTTCATACATGTCTCCCAACCTATTCCCTGCCCTCGAGGCGAACGGCTTTAGCTCCTTGGAATGTAATACCTAGAGACATGGTGTATAGTTTTTTTGGGGGAAGCCAGTGTAAGGAGGCAGCATGTCTGAACCTCTTGAGATTATACTACAGAAGCAAATGTAGCTATCATAAAAAACGTCCAGTTTAACCGCTCCTAATCCCCTCTGGTGCGCAACCTGTCTTTGAGTTCTTGCAGACAGTGAGAACTTTAAAAAGCGCAAGCCCTCGGTGTAATCCCACAAGAAAGATATGTAGTGACGCGCTAGCGCCACTTCCTCCTCGTCAGGACAGACATGACGTCTCGTGATTGTAAGCCTCGACCTACCTTTGGATGGCTGCAAACTCTGTGAGAACCCGGCATCCAATAACACGCCTGCATCCATAGGCTCACCTCAATCCATCGGATTATGCACCTTCAAGGCCGAATCAGACTAGGACTGACTGCAATGACTGCTTTCGCTCTGGCACTCCGGACTTCAGGCCCTACCAGCCGGACTGCACGCATCCGAGAGTCAATTTCCTCTTATCTGGTCTCCATTCCTTCTGTACAGAATAAACTGCTCTTACCAATCTGACCTCCCATGACTTCTCTTCTCTTTAGGAACCGGGCCTCCAGATCGTAGTGGCATGGGTTCTACTTTATTTACCTTAAAATCGCGCGATATTGGTAACCATGACTTGATATGAACTCTCAACTTCTGATTTGACTGAGCTCAATTACCATCAAACCTCCTTTGCCTTCATCCGAATTTTCCTGTGTCATCTTATGTGACCACAATATGGAAAATTCCATCACCGACAGTCTGTTGTGAAGCGATATGGAGATTGTCAGCTGCTCACAGCACAACGAAACTAGGCCATGATTCCTTCCCTGTCCAGCGGAGAAATCCTGGTCCCGGTCCACGATCCCTCCCAACAACTGCGGAGTTCTTCAAGGGCTTCTATTGTCTTTTCACACTGCCAACGTTCGATTGCCAAAGGAATTTGTGTAAGTTAAAATAGGCTAATGATAGGGTCGTTGGTCATCTCTCAAAAGTCAGACATATCTGCGGGTTCTGAAAAATGGCCTGGACTACGTTGCAGCATGGCCGTTAGCAAATGGTCTTCTACTAAATAATCAGGAGTCAGTCTGGTGCATTTTTCAATTGCGACCCTTTCCCACTCCTGAATCCTTAGACACGTTGCCCAATGAGATATCCTCTTTCCGGTACCTTGATGGTACTCTTTAACCTCCCATTTACCCTTCTATTCATGAAATTTCGTAACACTATCACACAGTTCAGGTTCTTATCTGCCGATGCTGTGGATGCCCGCATTCTCCCCCTCATTCCCTTTTGCTCTCCGGTTATTTTTCTGGCCTTGGTTAAACAAATATCTGTTGATTTTTAAGCTTATCCTCAGAATACGCTCTTCAGCTGACGGTAGTTCTTATGCTTTTTAGCTTATATTATAATACAGCCACACTCCAAATTGCCAGTTCTGATTCGGATAGGCTTAACCTTAATATTGCCTACTGTCCACGTAGTACGGTGAAGGGCTGGATTGACGATTGTGAAATGTAGCTGGTGTCTTTTCGCTACCAAACTGCCGCACTGCATGCGCAGCGGAACCTATGAGTTTGGAACGCACACTGAGATGCCTTTACTAACACATGTTGACCCGAACATGCCTGAAGCCTCGGCTGATACGAGGGCTAAACAATTGCTACGATTACCAATATAGGTGACACACCTATTGCTGCCGTGAATAATGCTCGCAATTTATAGGGCTACTAATCATACGGGTATTGCAAGTTCATTCAACTCCTATTACTTATACTAGGAGGGCAAATTGGAGAAAAAATGGGACAACAAACGCTACGAACCTTGACTACTACTACTACTCCTAGTTTTCTGATGGTGTCTGCTGAAGAATCCGCGACGGACGTCGAAACGTTATGCGAATAAAAGTATTTTCCCAGGGGTCGCATCTTCTTCTTAAATACTAATACTATAATGGCAGCTACGACTAGTAGTAATACAGCTGCTACCACTACTACCAAAATTGCTATTACTTCAACTGTTGGTGTTATAATACTAGCGATATTGGTTATATCCTTGCGTGTTTCTGCGTCGACACTGGTTAGACCTCCCAGTTACGTGTTAGGATAAGAAAGCAGAATAGGATAGCAGATAATAGTTTACTGCCGCTATTTCTTCTTGTACATCAGCTTTGTCTTGTCTGTGTCAGGCAGCTTGTAGTGTGTCCGTCAGCAGCGTGTATTCTGTCGTGGGTCCTAACATTATTGTTCCTAGCAGTAGATCCACCATACTTAGTCAAACCCATCCGATACACAGTTATCTCAGTTATTATGAGCAAAAGCAGGACCTCAGAGTTGTGTTGTGAATACGTTTGTCTGAGCTCGGTCACTTCAATTAGTCTACAAACCACAGTTCTGAGACCCCTATCATGACACGGCCTCGTGATATCACATAAAGCATTTTAATCAGGAAACCAGTTGTAAACTGTCAGTCTGCGCACCGAAACACTTTCTCCTGGCCAGCATCTGATTGGTGATCTAACAGTCAATAACAAGCGTGGCATGCCATACACTTTAACATGCGCTCGAAATAGAAAGGAATAAAAAAACCGCAGTCGCTCCAGCGATTACAGATTAGGCGGAAGTTAGGATGCTACTGATGCATGCTAGTACGTCAATGTAATCTTCAGATTTAATTTGCTCTGAATTGCGTGTCCGGGTCCCCTTCCTCCAAGAATTATGTTACTGTTGAACCCTTTGTTGAAGTCGACTGCACACTGGCGTTCAATCTAGTCCCCCGGCCAAGCACCACTTAAGTGCTGGCTTGAGTACTGTTCCCAGCCCCCGTTCAGCCGTCTCGGCCTTCTACAGGAAAGTAGACGAAACACAGCAGCTGTCGGGCCGAGCTATCCTGAACACGCTTGGCCCAGTTGTCTCTTCATTTGTTAATATAGAAGCGACTGTGGTGAGGACCACTTGAAACCCCTTTGCCCGACCGACACCTTCTAAGGCTGTTTGCATACCCCAGCTGCTGACATTTGATGTTGCCCCCTCCCCCTCTGGTTCGATGACAGCTGTCACCACCGCTGTCCTCAGACGCTTGCAAATTACTCCCCCTTTTTGGCACAGAATTGCCTGTATTCACCCGTCTCACGCTATTTGTTCCCCGCACTTGTCCTTATTGGCTCCCTCGTTCTTTAATTCCTGTCCCTTGTAAGCTAACAGCAACGCGTCTGTGTCATTCAAACGATTGCTCGTCTAAGCACCTCGAATAACCACAGAAAGAATAACCGAGTTACCTGACTGTCCTTCGACATAACTACTGACCTCGGGTGCGTTATTCGGGTGACGAAACGCAGCACAGCATTAAGAAATATTGCATTATCAACAGTTATTCGAGCTGCAGAAAGAAAAGGCCAAGATTATCTACAGTTACACGAGAACTTATCAGCCAGATCTTACAGTTATTTGAGCTAAAAAACGAATAGACCAACAGTTCTAACACTACTGTTGGCTAAACAGGACACGAGAAAAGAACTCGCCTGAGAGGCATGTGGCTTTATTCTACACTAGCGCGGAAGCCCGGCTTCGCCTTGGCTTCCTTACCGTTGTTCTCCTTTTATGAAGGAAAAAGGCAAGTGTCCTCTGCAGTTAAACCTTTTGAAGTAATTAATACGTACGAGGGATAAGCAACCAGGAATGAAGAACGGTATGGAAAG